AGCACGCACACACACACACACACACACACACACACACACACACACACACACACACACTCACACGCACAAACCTGCAGGGCACGGCCTCCCGTTTGATGTTGGGCTGCCGCGGCGCCAGCAGCAGCCGGTAGAGCCCGCGCAGGGCAAACGCGGCCACCAGCAGGGAGGGCACGGCTGCCGGCGGGGAAGGCAGGGCGACAGGGCATAGAGGGACGTCATGTGAGCGCAATTGCCATGGGTGGCAAGCACTTAATGCAGTGATGCCGTGGCCAGGGGCCCTGAACACTCTCTTGCACGCCGGCAGACCCTCTGGACTGCATGGACTGCCCTTGCCCACTCCAGTCCAGTTTAGGTATGTTCCACGCCTGTCCAAAGCTGGAATCTGCACAACATTGCATATGTAGTCGATTCAGCACGCTGTGCTGGAGCCAAACGCCCATTTGACCAAAAAACCGTGGACCATGAGAGGGGGCAGCCTGCCCCCTGAACCCCTTTCCCCCTCCGACAAGAATTGTTTTGAGGGCTTTGGGTTTGGGGTTTGCAGGCATCAGGGGTTGGGCGTAGGGGTGGGTTAAGGGTTCGGGGAAAAGGGGTCCCTGGTTTCTCGGCCCCTCCACGCCCCCCCTCACCGGCCACGAGTGATATGCTGAGCTCGTTGGCGCGCAGGATCTGGTCAAGCTCCAGCATGGCCGCCTCTGTGTCCACCTTGAGGCGCTGAACCTTTGGGGGGGGAGGGGGTTGGGGGGGATGAGAGGGGGGACGGGTGGCGGGAGGGAGTGAGGGGGAGGGTGGTTGCAAATCATGATGTTCAGAGGCGGGACACCGCCGCGCTCGGCAGCAGCACATCTGAGGGCCTTTTGTTCCCCAGCATTGGGAAAGCAGCACCCGCCGGCCGGACACGTGCAATCAATGAGCCAAACACTCTGCGCCGCTCGGGTCCCGTATCAGGCCAGAAAGCGTGTGACTCAAGGACACCCGAAAGCCTCGATCCAACTCGATTCCTCACAATCCGATGCACACCGACGAAGATCGCCCCTGCCATGCAGGTGCCGGCTGCGTCACCCGACCCCTCCTCCCACCACGCGCCTGTATGAGGAGCGTCCGCCCCAGGTCTCCTGCCACCAAATTCCTGATCGGCGACGTCAGCTCCTTCTCATAGCACGCCATCACCGCCGCCATGCCGCCACTCACGGCGTCCGCCTCGCTCGCTGATGCGCCGCCGCCCCCGCCGCCGCTGCCGCCGCCGCCGCTGCTGCCGCCGCTTCCTGCCGCGGCCACCCCCGCGGCCGGCGCCGCCGGCGGCGTCGCAGCAGCGGCAGCGGCGGTGACGGCGGCGGCGCGGGCGAAGCGGGGGCGGTCACGTTCGAAGTCCTTGAGCATGCGCAGCAGCGACTGCTTGTCGGTTTCGAATTCCGCGGTGCTCACGATCGAGGGGCGGCTGCGGGCGAGGCGGGGGTTTGACCGTGAGTCAAAGGGTTAACCGGAAGCCTCAGAGGCACGCGTGGGTGGTTGGCCTGATCTAATGTGCGCTTCAGCTGGCATAGATACCCGCTTGCTGATGGGTATGCGCAAGGGCTAGGGTTCGCAATTTACAATGTATTGCGGATAATCCCAACCCAAACCCGAGGCCTTCAAACCCTCAACTCTCTCAAGGAAGAGTGCGAGGCGGCGGCGGAGGGCGGGGCCGGCGCTCACTCGCGGAATGTCTTGAACAGCTCGTCCCTCAGCGCCACCACGGGTTCCACCAGGTGCGCCCGCCACGTGCCCGCCAGCGTGGCGGCCGCGCTGCGTCCCCACACCTGCCAGGGGCGCGCGGCGGGGAAGCGAGGAAGCGAGGAGGCGAGCCGCTTGGCGCGTTGCGTCGCGACGCCCCCAGTGCTCGCGCTGCGCCTGCCGTCTGCTGCCGCCGGCTACTATCATTTCCTGGCCAGACTCATACAGCAACGCCAAGTTTGCAGCCTGCCCCGCTGCGGATCTCTCTGCCCCTCTGCTGAGAGGGCCCTTGCCTCATCACGCCCCACCGATGCATCTATGATGTGTGTGGCTCTCGTTGATACGGTAGTTGAAAATTTTCACAGCGGTAAAACTGTGGAGGTGTGATGTCACCTCACCTCGAGGTCGTCGGACCCCGCCAGGCGGCTGTGGCGGTACACAAACGACAGCCCCCACGCCGACGCGCCTGCACGAGGGTTGATGCGTGGTGGATGCTTCTTGGTTGCTTGATGCCGAAAGCAGACGTTTGTAAGGATGCCCGTGGGAAGAGCTGGAATTCTCAAAAGCAGCCAAGACCAATGTAAGGTTCAGGGCGGAGCAAGGTGGCCCCGTCCATCGGACGGCTTGCTTGCTGGGGCCGTGGCTGGTGTCATGGTGCCGATCCGTCACCCCACGGGCAAGCTCGCTGTCCTAGAGACCGCGCAACGGCCTCCTGAAATCAAGACCGCGGCCGGAGCCCCAGATCCTCAAATCACCGACCCCCAAGTCCTCAATATGCAAGCATGAAGTAAGCCAGGCAATGCCATTCAAACTCTCCCAGCGCGCGTGCCCACCTGCAATCGCGGTGTACTTCAGCCAGTGTCTCTGGTACTTGGATGGCATCCGCACCCAATCGGGCACGGCCACGAGCGCGCCGCGTGTCGCCGCCGCCAGCGCGGCCGCCTGCAGCGCGGTGCGGGCGTCCCTGGGGGTTGGTAGGCAGTAGGCAGCAGGGGCGGCCAGGGCGGCAGAATTTTTTTTTGGGTGTTGTCAGTTGCGAGCAGCTGCGCGGCAGCTAGGGCCGGCAGTCAGCAGCAAGCCGTCGCCGCAGCCAGGGCTGTGGTGGGCGGTCGTACGCAACAATCAGCAAACGCAGCGCCACTGGGCTGACAGTTGCAGCCGGCATTCAACTGCTCAAACCCCGTCCACCCTGGTTACAGTCTCCCCAGGAGTGATTGAAATCACAATCAGCGCTGCTTGGGCGAGATTTGTAGATATGATCATCGCTCACTTGGGCGGGTGGTGACCGTCCACCTTCAGGCCGAGGATCTCCCCCAGATCCCGGATCTCCTGCCACTGCACCCCGGCCTCCGCCGGCGCGGCGGCCGCGGCCGCGGCGGCGGCTGCGGCTGCCGCGGCCGCGGCGGAGGCGTCGCCGCCGCGGCGAAGGCTGCCGGAGAAAGTTTGGCTCAGCGCGGCCTGGCGGACACGCCTGCGGGTGCCGCCAAGGAGGTGGAGATGACGATAAATTGAAATAAAGTGAAACAGCAAAAGGAGGGATCGGTGATGTGTTTGGGATCGGATCATGTTCATGACGGCAAGAATAACTTAAGTTCATGCGGTGGGACAGCACTGGCGCGTGCAGCGTGAGTCACAAGGCGTGTCAGCAAAATGCGCAGACACGCAGCGTGGCGACTGAAGTTGAGAACCGATACCAGCAGAGGACGCCTCCCCTGTGCATTCCCCTGAAGCCGCCTGATTGATGCGTCATGCCATCCACATGCCCGCTTCTTCCCACTCAGAAATGCCCCTGGGTTCACATATCAAAAAGCCCCCATCACCCTCAGGACTCCCCGCCCTCCCCCCACTCGACTTAGGCCCCGGCCAAGCCCCCTCGGTCAAAACACCGGTCAAACCTTCAGTCAAACCCTTAGTCAAACCCCGGTCAAACCCCCGGTCAACCCCGGTCAAACTCACAGGGACGCCGCGCACTGCTCCCCCAGGGCCGCCGACTCTGGCAGCACCTTCTCCAGGGCCTCGCGCAGGCGGCCCAGGCAGCCGGCGACAGACCTGCGCGCCGCCTGGGGGTGCGACAGACACGGCATGAGAGAGAGGGAGAG